AGATTGCTTATATTCTTTACAAGATTCGGGCTTCTGCGATTTGTCTTCAGTTGCTACATCCGATTGTTCTACCTAGATGCCATTGAACAATTAGCTTGATTTATCTTTTACATTTAGCCCGTTGATATACATAAATACGATTGCACAGTTGTAAAAAAAAAAACACAGTAAATCAAGAGGTTCATTGGTTTTTGTGGATAAATGAGTAATTTTTCGATTACACTGGATGCTAATGAAATGCGCAACAATAGTTAAGTAGAAAAAAATATGTGAAACGGTCTTCTTTTGCGATGTTACATAGTTCTCCTCTAGTCCTCATTTCTTCACAATATTCGTATCCTGACCAGATGTTGCATACATTTTGCAAGTTCTTTACTTGCTCTAGAAAAGCTCCTCCGTCGATTTCTTCCCCTTTGAGCTATTTGAAATGTAACAACGACAGGAAAAGGCACTTTTGACACAGGCTGATGTTTGCCTTTGCACATGGCCCAAAAATTTGCGAGTTCTTTTGTGCAGAAGATGTTGGTTCCTGCAGTACCGCTGAAGAATGGCTCACAAATTCAAATATTGTTCTTTGAAACACACCTGTAAGCCGACATTTGAGAGAATCTTAACTGAGTTGTCCTCAGACCTTACCTAAATAGGCTACCATTCTTTCGACGTACTCAGCTTTTAACCAAATGCGCCTCTGATAAAGATATGTTTGTCAAGTATTGGGTGAACGCCTTCATTGAAGAAGGTCTCGCGATTCTGATGTAGTGGCATCGACAAAATTGAGAATAACTGGTTTACTGCTACTGATTCAAAGAAATCTATTTTTATTGTTTCAAACAATTACTAAAAATTCTCTGGAGCTCTTGAAAAAACCTAGGTGACGAAAATGACGCTTGTCGTTAACGTGACATCTTATCTCAGCTCTTAAGTTCATGATCTGCAGAAAGGATGAAAGGGGATTTGTGGAGATATGGAAGAATTTTGAATATATATGTAGTGATGAACATATGATAACCCGCAAAACCGTCTGGATGTGATTCATGAGTTATTCCCCTTGTGAGATCCAGCTTGTTGTAAAGGTTGGCCTCCATCCAGTGTCCTTGATATGCAAGTGTTTGTTCTCTGTAATCTTCGTGAAGAGCTTGTAAAGCGCGCTCAGCAGGAATTTTTATAGTAGTTCCGAAAATACTCCTTTTCGCCCTTCTTACGAAAGAGGATTGGTTGGGAGGTTCTCCACTGGTCGGGGATCCTTTCCTTTAGAAGGTAAGACGTTAGGAGTTCCACAAGTATCTCTAGGCGATATCCTCCAGCTCGTAAGAGATTGGCCGATATGTGGTCCGGTCCCGGAGCCGTGGCTGCCTTCATAGTCTGGATTGCGCTGCATACTTCAGCAGGTAAAATCCGTGGTGGTATTCCTCCAGTGGGAATAACGAGGTTTGACACCGAACGCTTTGACCAGCGAAAGAAATTGGTGTAGAATCTCTTCGTGGTCGAATCCATTCTTTGGAAAATGTGGGAGTCCCATCTTCTTTAGTGATGTTGTCAGCGAAACCCGATAGTCGAGAAGGTCCCTTCGAAGAATTACTTGCGAAGCTGTTCTGCGACTGGTATTGGCTACCAGACGCTTGAGATGTGATGCAGTTCGATCTAGCCTCAGTGATCTTTTCTTCTGAAGCAAATTCTTCGTGGTTTCGGAATTCGTTCCAGTTCCTCAAGGCATTGATACACTTCCACCACAGGCTCTCAGGCCTCTAAGGAGGAGGTCGTATATTTCGTTGGCCTCCTCGATGGGCCAGTCACAACAGGAACTCCTGCAATCTGACGCCGTCACATACTACTTCTAATCTTCCTCTAATACGGTGGGAGATTTCCTTTCCAGCTTTCAACTGAGTCACACGTTTGCTTGAAGGAGCTTGTGATCTGAATGACTGCTAAAGGGGGTACCACTGCGTTGTCCAGTGGGCATCAACTTCGGTTACTGATGATGTGGTCGATTTCATGCATGACATGTACCGTTGACTCCCATGTCCACCGCCGTTTGTTCTTTCTTCATAAAAATGGAGTTGCCATAAAAAGTCGTGCCCTGGATAAGAGTCCAACAAGCTTTACTATCCTCATTCCGTAGTCCTGATCCAAATCTCCCAATCCTATACTCCCCTTCTTCTGACATCGCGATTTTCGCCACGACAAATTTGTAGAAGGACTTCTCTTTGCGGATTACTTCCTCCAAATCCTCATAAAAAGCATCAAG